GATTAAGTTTAAGATCGTTGTTCACCCAGTTCTTTCTAATTTGTAGAACTACTACAAGGAAAATTTGTGAAGTTATCACAATAAATAAATAAAAAAAAATAAAATAAAAAAAAAAACACAACACTGCATTCAATCCAATTTTTTTTACTGTACATCAATCTTTGTTCAAAATGTTCGTTTATTTGAAATTTTATAAAACATACTTTTCATGTCGGATAGTTATTATAGGTACCAGACTTATAATATGATACGCCAGAAGCGCGTTTTGTCTACATAAGACTCATCAGTGACGCTCAGATCAAAATAGTAAGAAAGTCAAACAAGTATAAAGTTGAAGAGCATTGAGGACCCAAAATTCCAAAAAGAGCCTTTCTTAGCTTTTGTGTAAGATGGGGTTTGCTCCTTGTAGATAACCTAAAATTGCACACATTATTTGGTATCTGATCGTTGTTTACTTTGACAATCATACCATGTCTCCTTGTTTATTATAAGTGAAAAAAAAGAATGAATCAAAGGCGTACTCAATTTTATTATCTTTATCTTTTTATTTTAATTTTTTTTTTTCGATTTTCTTAATTTTGTTTTTGCCTAATATTCACTATACACTCCGCTTTCTAAATTGGACGGTACATAGTGATGGTGGATGGGTCCATCCTTCCGTTCTTTCGTCCTTTTGTTATTTCATTGTATTCATACCTAGATAGTAGCAGACAATACGAATCACATACGGCTCGTGAATTATGGTTTTCTTGAACATTAAAACGATGCACAGCAAGACAACCTTCTTTCTAGAATTGACATCAACTTGGAATTGGATTTTCCTCCAAACTGTTTTAATTTATGTGATAAGAATTTATGCGAACCTTCCACCAATTGTTACGCCTTATAGGAGATACAAAATACGACAAAACCGCAAAGGGAAAAAAGAAAAATGCAAAAAACTAAATAAAGAAGAATGTCAGAATGTCAAGTTTCTGTCGAACACACCAACAGACGTTTAAAAACATTAAGGGTTGTTGGAACTTTGTATAGACATCCAATACATGAATCAAATCAAATTGTTGAATTGTGTGCTGGACTTGTGGAGAGGCAAACTGAGTTATTTGACTATTAAACATATTCTACTAATATCATTTAATGTTTATATTTGGACTTGTGGCCATAAAATCCGTCATCCTAATTCATGACCCTTACATATATATTTTTCTAAAGTTTTGTTTTGCACTCCTTAATCAAACACATATAAATGAATGCATGTAAATATACATTAGGCCAATGCACGTCTTAAAATTTGGAGTCGGCGTTAACCGTTCGCTTCATAATGTATCAAACACTCCACAAAGCTTAACTATACTACGCCAGAATACTTTTCAATGCAATTACATTTTAAGAAAATCCACACTTAAATCTTGAATCTATTTTGTTATTTAACACAAGCGCAGTATTTAAATCACTTTCCTAACACGTCTATTGGAAAAAGCACATATCACTGATAAATATGACATTGCGTAATTCAAACGTACAACAAACATGACAAATAGTAAAAAGGGAATTTCCATCGTCACACCCAATTTGTGCGGATAGCACGAACGAAACTTTACAGAAATAAGGTAAACATGTAAAAAATATTACATCTAACATTATAGAAATTGATTCTCAAAACATTACATGTTAAATCAAAGGTAATTGCTTTTGAATTTCAAACTTTTAACTAATTTTCTACTTTCTCTTCAGTAACTATCAGATATATTAAAGATCTTCTAAAAAGTTGGTATGCTTTTTCCATTACAATACCAATCGAGAAAATATATCTAAAGTTTAAGATATAATTCCTAGTCACAACTCATTTCTGAACACATTGTTTCCAGAAACTGTACTATATCGTCTCAATTTCCGAAGCAATTCTTTCAAATGCTTTAGTATTTCTGGTTAAAGCTCTGTTGTCAGTAGAAAAAAAAACACGTAATTTATGATAACTAATTAGTCCTCATTGTTAAATTGATATGAAAAGCCATAATAGTTATTAATAGTTAAATTGGGTTGAAAAGTAGGTAATACACTGCATTATCTAAGATTTTAACACATAAATGCCATAAATAAAATTGATCCACCAGTCTACTTTTTGTTTGAAGTTTATAAATTCATTTTTTATGCATCAGTTTACACCGAATAATTATTGTAGATCACTTACAGTCTAAAAAATTAACGAAATGTAAAATGAAGTGAAATATACAGTTCAGAATGATTTACTATTTAAAGGAATATGTATTCAAGGTAATTGTTCTTAAAAAAAGGTGACATTACCTTAATTCTAAGAAACAATGTTCAGTGACTCCAACTGCATAACAAACTTAATGGCAGAATCAACGTTTTGGTCTATAAAGTATGAATTTAGGGTTTTTAGGAATTAATAGTTTTATTCATTCGTCAGTTGATTGATTTTTGTTTTTTTTTTTATCTAATATCAGGAAAGGGATGGCATTTTGATGTTAATTTTTGTTAATTCAACGAAAGAAAAAACATGGATTAAAACTCATAGAAAACTCCAGGATGTATAAAAAATAAGATGTGGTACGATTGCAAAGAGAATATCTCCACGAGACACCAAATGACTTAGAAATTAACAACTATAGGTCACCGTACGGCCTTCAACAATGAGAAAAACCAACACCGAATAGTAAGCTACAAAAGATCCATAAATGACAAATGTAAAACAATTCAAACGAGAAATTTAACGGCCTGATTTATGTACAAAACAATAAACGAAATACAAATATGATATACAGCAACAAACTACAACCACTGAATTACAGGCTGCTGAATTGGGACAGGCACATACAAAATGTGGCGGGAGTAAACATGTTTGCTGGTACCAAACCCTCTCTATAATCTAAGACAGTGGCGTAACAGTACTAGTACAATATAAGAACAAACTATAAAATCAGTTGGTCTTTTTCCAAAATATTTTTCCAACAAATTCATCATAGATTATATTAAATATTTCCATACTAACAAGATATTGAACTTGTTAGTTTTTTGTGTGTGTGAAACAAACTATGAATTAACTAATCTCCAAAACGATTATAATCTAAGTAGCAAATGCTTAAATTAACGCACTGTGTTTTCAGTTCAACTATCATGAAGGGCAATTGTGAGCTATTGCAACCAATTTGTACCCATTTCCATCTGTCTGTAAAAACATTTCCTTCTGAAACCACTCGGCCAATATCCTTCTACGAATTTCCCCTGGTGATCCAATCAACTAACTAATATAGCTGCTGTTACTAAAATGGGACATGTTGCTAAACATGCAAAATGATAGTTTAAATGGGTGTCTGAATAAAAACAAACTTATTTTCAGTTCATAGTTTTGCCAGACATATATCATCATAGTATACACAAATGATATTATTAGTTGGTTAGTTTTTTTTTTGCCTAATTGCAGTCTTTGTTGTGAAGAAATCTTTGTAAAGTGGGATCACTTTTCCAATACATACAGTATCACTAGCCTGTCAATATTGATTGTTGCACTCGACTCCAATCTAAATAGACTAGGATTGTCAGTTTTCCTACCGGAGGTCGATGTTTCTCTACGGGTACTCCGGCTTCCTCCACCAATAAAAACTGCCCGCCACGAAATAGCACAATACACACAGCAATCATTTAATCAATCAATCCAATACATGCAGCTGAAGCTTAGGCTTGATATGGGAAACACATGTTCAAGCTTTTTCTAATAAATGGAAATACAAGTGAATTTTCTATATTTTTCTCTATGTTTTGTTAAAGCTGAAATTTGGGGTTTATATAAAATCCACAAAATTATATCATATGAGTAATAATACATTTACAATATGTGCAAATGTAAAAATCAAGATAACTGTATCGAATGAAGACTCAACCAGATGTGACAAGATCTTAATATGAAAAAAGTTAGCTCAATGTATATTTTGATGTAACAAGTATATTTTATGAATTGCAGAATGGACAGAGAAGATCAACGTAGATACCTAGTGGTTGGATCTGTCATTTTAGAAGTAGTTACTCCTTTGTTTCAACAAAAAATTGAGAATGACTATACAAATGTTGGGTTTGGATCCCTTCAGGCATTTATCAATAGTCAAAATGTTATTCACACCCTATTTCACTTACGACACAGAAACTCATGGTGCTGTAAAGACAAAGCAAAATGTTGTAACCATGCTACACTGCCTTTGGTTTACTGCCAATGGAAAAAGTTGTATTCTGAAAATCCAGGACCGGGAATTCACAACTGTCACTGTAAATTCACAGCTAATCCTGTTCATCTTAACGAACTGGATATAAGCCTTTCCAGTCTTATTTTGTTAAACTGTTGTAATCTATCACAACCTGAAGTGGAAGCTGTTCAACTGCTACGCCAATACAAGAATGATTACTTGAGTCATAATACTACAGGTTGTATTACCCAAGCTGAATACAACACATTATGGCCAGATCTAGTCACCTATGTCCTGCGACTTGATTCAAGTAAACAGGATGATCTTGTAAGGATAGAGAACAGACCATTAGATGAGTCACTGTGTAAAAAATACTTCATATGCCTTCTTGAACTTCATCAACAGTTAGAAGAGGTATAAATTCTATATAGATGTCAAATATTTTAACATTTCCATTCTACTGGTACATTTAAAGATTTATTCATTTTTAGAAGTATGTACAGGGTGTTCTCTTACCTGTTGAAAAAGTTTTAAAAAAAACCCCAAAAAACTGATTTAAAGCCGTGTTTTAAATTCAACCTTTAAAAACAAAATGCATTTTATTAACCTTTGCATTCAAAACAATTACCCATATCAAGTATTGACTAATTTAGCTGACCTCCATAGAGCGCCAATTTCAAGAGAAAAAACTATAAAGCTTTTTCTGATATTATATGTTGTCATTTAGAGAAGATTTACTAAGATGTCAACATTACAAGAAAAGTGTTATAATTGTAACATTCTTTTTTTATAAAGATAATATCAACCATGCAAAATTTGCATTCATCTTTCCAAGCTGTCAGTTCTTCCATAATTGGACTGAACAGTTCTGTCCAGACAACTGTCCAAGGAATGGATACAACAGTTCAAGGAATGGGAAATTCCATCCAAGGAATAGAAACATCAGTCCAGCAAACAAATGAACTTCTTCAGGTAAATCATAATAATCTAATAAATGAAATGGTCGTCAAATTGTGACGGTATTTGTTCGAATTCTTTGACCTGTTGAAGTCAGTAATGTGTTGATATTACCTGCAATGTCTGACTTAAAATCACAAATGCCAGCATTGTCTTAATCTAGCATAGAATTGTTCAAACCATTGCTAATTTGCTATAGGCTATTTTGAACTTGTATTAGGAGCAGTGAAGATTTTTCTCCATATTGATCTTCTCACTGTGACTTTCAGATGAATAACAGTAATAAACACACTGTTCTTTTATGGGTTTTTAAAATGTGAATATTGTGTGTATTGATAATGAATTAGTACACCAAATCTCTCTTCTTTCATTTAATCAATGTAATCAGTCATATGACATTTAAAAAAATAAATACTGGTACTTAATTCACAAATTTACAGTGAAAGAATGTTCACTGTATTTACTAAGACAATCAAAATGAAGATGCATTATCATTGGTGTACAAACTTGGATGTCTTTAATGTTGGATAACATATGAAAATATAAGAATCTATTATTATCATGATTATATAGTTTGCTTCATCGAAAATTGGCTTGATACACCTACTTGGAACATATTTCTAACGGTAGGCTGAAGATGTTCCGCTACATGCATTATTGCACAAAATTTTGTATCAGAGAACTGAAATGGACATATAACATAATATTTACAGTAAGCCTACAATAGGGCTAAACACTATGTCATGTGGTGCTGTCCCCCACTTTTATTTCGTATAAAAAAACAATTACCATTTCAAAGCACATGGTGCAATCAAGATAAGATAATAATAGATAAATCTGTTGAAATTTAGTACTAATAATCATTTTGTCATCATTTTTCTATTAAGATATATTATGTTTATTATAAATACTGTAAGATGTATGTGCAGATTTGTTAACTGTGATACACAAGCAACCCACAGAGCAAATATTAAAACAAAAACCGTTTCCTTTTTGAAAAAAAGACATGGTTCCAGGTAGAAAATCTTTAAACTAAATGGGTTAATATCTGCATTATATATGAAAACAAAAGGCTGTCAGAGTGATAGCAAACCGGATTTTCTGCAGAGGTCAAACCCTGAACAGTTGAGCAAGTATGGATACTGCATTTAAGCTTAAAACAGGTCAGAATTTGGATTGTGACTGAATATTTGACACAACATATGTTTGTGACACAAAATGAATGTGATCAAAGAACTGAAAAATTTGAAATTGAACATTTACCTATTATGGTCCAATATCCAAAGTCTAAGTACATTGTTAGAATCAGCATATCAAAGAACCCCAAGAATTCAATTTTAATGAACTCAAACAAAATTTTAATTTAGGACCCTTTGGACCTCAATGTGGACCAATTTGATAAAGGATCCCAAAATCCAAAATCTATAAATACGTAGTTAGATTCATCATTTCAAAGAACCCCATTAATTTTGGACACTGATTTGGACCAACTTGTAAACTGGGCCCAAAAATCCAATATTTAAATACAGGTTTAGATTCAGCATTTGAAAGAACCCTTTGTGTTTAATTTATTTTGAAATGAAACACAGTTTAATTTTATCCATATACTTATTAATTTTCTGTTCAAAGGGAAATAACTCAAACTTAATAAATGATGTACAAATAGTTCTCTAAAATTAGATATGATTTAACCACTAAAAATAGTTCTATAAAATTAGATATGATGTTATATCTATTTTCTTATTATAATCAATAAAATTAGATATGATTTAACCATCAAAACAGTGTTAGAATCAGCATATCAAAGAACCCCAAGAATTCAATTTTTGATGAAATTAACCAAAATTTTAATTTTGGACCCTTTGGTCCTCAATGTGGTATTATCTAATTATTAATAAAAATAACTACAGGTTTAGATTCAGCATTTCGAAGAACCGTATATATACATTCAATATATGTTGAAATCAAACACAGATTAATTTTGGACCACAATTTGGACCAACTTGAAAACTGGGCCCAAAATCAGAAATCTAAATATATGTTTATTAATAGACAATATAAGCTTTGTTTTATAAGGAATTCACTTCATCAAAAAAACATATAAATATAGAATTCATAAAATTAGTTTGTACAGAATAACAAACAAACCTACCATAAAATTCTTCAAACAATTTACCAAAGAATAGAAAAAAAATCCAAAATGTCATTTATCATTAATATAATGTCTTTTAAAAATCTATAAAACTTATCTGTAAGCGTAATCAAACTTTATATATTTAATTAACCATTTCTGCTCAAAGGGAAATAACTCAATCACATAATAAGTACCACTTTTGGCTACTAGAAAGGGCTATAACTCAAAAATGAGAAAAGCTAAAATCGTGAAAATTGAACATGACCTTCATTTAGTCACAGGAAACAACAGATCTAAAATTGAAAAAAAATTCGTCAAATCGTTTTCATGTTAATGAACAGAAACTGTTTGGCAGCCGCCCGCCCATCCGCCTGCCGTACATCCCCAAATCAATAAAAGTTAATAAAAGGAGTTCATATTGAAAGCTTATTAATAAATAAGTTTAATATAAAGGAAATTTAACATTAACAATAAATCAAGGAGTTAGATCTCCATTTTTTTTCTTTGGTTCACTTTTCATTAATTTACATACAAATAACAGTTCTTTTATTTTTAGGAACTCCTACAGAAAGGTTTGACATGTGAATGTGGCAGACAAATCATCAATCCTCTCTGTAAGTTTGTAAATATTTGATAAGTTTTTAATAAGTTGAATTTCTACAAATTTAATCATGGGTATGAACACAGAATAGTTTTTTGAAATCTCCTTCTACAGACCACCGCCCTGACTCACTATGTGGTGAAAAAGTTTGCATACAAGATTTAGTTCACCATTTTCTACAAAAGAAAATGTCTGTACCAAGTCAGGAATATGACAGTTGTTATCCAATCGTTTGATGTATTTTAGCTTCTGATTTTGCAATTTGCTTAGGGACTTTCCGTTTAGAATTTTTCTCGGAGTTCGGTAATTTTGTTATTTTACTTTTTCCCATTGAAATGATCTTTTATGACAGTTTGAAAGCTAATAAATACTTATTACTAAACTAAATTGAAAAAAACGTTTTGTTCACGTAGGAATGCACAAAAAATTGACAAAAAATTTAATATACGACAACGTATTTATTTTTAAATTTTAAAGATGGCCTAGTGCTGTTTACATTATCTTATGCACACATTAAATTTGTCTTTTGACCGAAATATAATTTAACATTAAAATGCTTTAAAAGGTATCACTCCAAGGGATGAACAACTGCAAATTTGAACTTTTAATTTAAAATATTCAAGGTACTAAAACCTCACAGTTTTAGCAAAACATTTTATTGACTTTATAAATAAATGTTTATTTCTGGTTTATTTCCCCCAAAACAAACAGGTTGCTTAGAATAACACTTATCTACTGTTAATTTAATGACAATGATTAGAAATGCTAGCGTTAAGCATGTTAAACTCTAACATATACTGATATATCTAAGTAAATATACTGCAAGTGAACTTAAAATATGAAACCTTGATGTAATACTTTGAAAAAATTGTGGATGGTTCTTTGTGAGATAAACAAAAGTTCTGATATTTCAACAATCATATAGATAAAAGGAACTAATTACAAACATTACATTGACTGACAATGTCTAGTATTTGTGTCAAAGTACAACAAGAGCGCACACGTTGAAATGTCTGTCCTTCTTTATTGACCATTGATTTTATGTTAATAGTCCTAAATATAAAATTTTACTACAAGTCACATAAAATTAACATGATCCAAGAAAATGAGGCCAAGGTCAGATAAATCAAGCCAAAAATACATGTACACTTTACATTCACTCCATACACTAAATACACTTGACCTATTGCTTATAGTATACAAGAAACAGACCAAACCATAAAAACTTAAGGCAGACATACATATTAACAATCATTCTATGGATCACATATAGTTGACATTTTGCATATAGTATTTAAGAAACAAACCTAAACAGGAAAACTTAACATTGACCAATGCATACATGTGATTCTTCAGGCGTAAGTCAAAATATCCCGATTTTTAATCTCTGTTCTGTCCCTCCCGTTAAGAATTTAAATCTTCAACTTTTTCTAAAATTTAATCCGGACAATTTTTTCATTGTCATTTTTTGTTCTACAATCGATGTCATTCCCTTCTTATCAATATCAATTTGTGTCATTAATCACGGTGATTATTACCAGCCAATTCAGTGGACAACTCACTGTCTTCAATTGACAGTTTGGGTGTCATACAAACCGTTAAATAACGTCTATTACTTGACTTGGATAATACATAATCTGTGTATTTTCAAACGTGTTGGAAATTAATTTTGGAGTTACTCCCCCTGTTTTAGCGTATGAAAAATGCGTGCTCCTAAAATGTTATTTATCATTTAAAAATGGAATAAAATACAAATTGAATACAAAGTTAAATAAGAATGTTACCTTAAGGGTCAAAACTTTCTTTGAACAAAAAAAAAAAAAGAAGTATATAACAAATTATTTTTGATAATCACTTTCATTATTGCACTGATACATTATGATTAGAAATAGGTAGTCTCTGAAGCTACAAATATCAGAAGAATTTCTTCAATTTCATGGTTATTTATAAAGATAAAAAAAATGGTTATTCAGACTCTATCAAACAAATTTATATGAGTTCAATTAAAATTCACGAATAATGCATCGGGATCTTACTACAGTCAAAACTACATAGTACAGCAGGATCACATTGTTCACTGAAGACACTAGAATGTTTTTATTAAATAATTTTATTTGTTTTTGTTCAAAAGAATCAGGTTAAAAGCTATGGATTAATTTTAATTTTAATTTGACAAATGTAAAAGTTTTGCATTAAAATTTTATCTTGCTAAGAAAATAATAGTACATTAATCGTAACACGAACAATGAAAAAGTCGATAAAAATGTTGATAAAAAATCTCACATTTTGAGGCCCAAACTCCAGTTGAAAATTTTTAAATCTCCAGTTATGTCAAGTCAAATCTGTCAGATGTATGCAATCAAACATGAAAATGAGGTCAAGGTAATATGATACCTGCCAGACAGACATCTACATCTTACAATCATTCTATACACCAAATATAGTTGACCTATTGCTGTGATTTAAGAAAAATAGACCAAAACACAAAAACTTAACATTGAGAAATGAACCATGAAATTGAAGTCAAGGTCAAATAAACCTGCCAGACTGAAATGTACATCGCAACATATTTCCATACACCAAATATAGTTGACCTATTGCATACAGTTTAAGAAACACATACCAAAACACAAAAAACTAAACATTAACCACTGAACCATGAACATAAGGTCAAGGTCAGACAACTCCTGCCAGTTGGACATGTACACCTCACAATCATTCCATATACCAAATTTAGTAGATTTATTGATTATAGTATCTGAGATATGGACTTTACCACAAAAACTAAACCTTGTTCAGTGGTCCATGAAATGAGGTCGAGGTCAAAGTCAAACTGTCATAAAATCATGCGGACCTTGCAATGTACACACAAACCAAACATAGTTATAAGAGATAATAAGAGAGAAATTAACTTTACAACAAAATTTTTTTTCAAGTAGTCTCTGAACCATGAAAATGAGATCAAGGAAAATGGATATTAAACAGACAGAAACTTCATAACAAGGCATCTGTTTACAAAGTATGAAGCATACAACTCTTCTACCTTCTGAAATATTAAGCTTCTAAGTAGTTAGTAAACGCCAGCACCAGATCACCATCCCTATGTTTCGCTTTTTGCGACAGAAGTCACACAATCGACAAATAAAGAGCTGCGCTATGGGTGCATGATACGCCCATCGCTTTTTCAAAGAATAAAGTTCTATAACGCCTCAATGTCATATCATAATTTTATGGAAAAAAAAACTAAAGGGGCGTAATTTTAATAAATATGAACCAGTCACTAAAGTTTCAAGAAAACTGCTCGAAGCACTTTTGAGTTATTGTCCGAAAACTGGGAAATCCCCCTTTTCTAATGAATAAAACCCCATAACTCGGAAACGTAAAATCTAAAATTTATAAACATCAAAAGGGAGCTCACGTCAATAGATATAAACAATTCACCTAAGTTTCGTGAAAACTGCTCAAAGCATTTTTGAAATATTGTCTGAAAACTGGCAAATCCCACCTTTTTAATGAATAAAACTCAATAATTCATAATTACGTAAAATCTAGAATTTATTAAAATCGAAAGGGAGCTCACATCAATAGATATAAACAATTGACCAAAGTTTCATGAAAACTGCTCAAAGTATTTTTGAGTTATTGTCCGAAAACTGGAAAATCCCCTTTTTAATGAAATAAAACCCCATAACTTGGAAACATAAATTCTAAAATTTATAGAAATCGAAAGGAAGCTCATGTCAATAGATATAAACAATTCACCAAAGTTTCATACCAATTGGTTACAGCGTTTTTGAGATAATGTCCGACATGTTGACGATGGACGGACGGACAACGGTACACCATAATATGTCCCGTAAACGGGCGTATAAAAATGGAATAAAATATTCTAAAGCTCATATATAAAAAAAAATAAGTGTGTGTATGTCTGTGTTGTAAACCAGTTGTTCCCATAATCTTGATTGAACACAAATACACATGAATACACACTGGTCAAAATGTTAAAAGATTAAACTTAGTTTAGCAAGTTTTCTTTGAGTTCTTTTGTCATCGCATATTTAATTTTATTAGATTTTTATGAATTTTTCAGTACATATAATATACTTTCACAATTATTGTTAAGTAACAGTATTGTATCTACTATTTAGTTAATGATCAACGAAGAAAACACAGAGAGCAGTATCAACTAGGACAAAATATCTTCAACCTTCATCAACAGCTCAATTTTCAGTCACTTTTCGAGATTGACAAGATAAGATGGTTAACAGATGTAAAGATGATGGATGATGGTAGACTGGTGCTTTGTTTTCCCTACGAGTACATAATACTGATCTGTAACACAGATGGATCACAGACAAACAGTATATCTGTACAGGGAGAACCATGGTTTGTAACAGCAGTCATCAACTCTACAGTAGCTGTTCTAGTAAAGAGCATTATACAATGTATAGAGATATACGACGTAACCGATAAACATAAACTTAAATCCATATCATTACCTATAATGTTGTGTGCTTGTGGCATAACAATGATAAACAACAAGTTAGTAGTAGGTGGTTTAGGTAGACTACTGATTGTTGATCATCAGACAGGAGAGACAATACAGACAATAGAAACAGGCTGCAAACCAGACAGGTTACATACTTCTGGTGACAGAATATTCTTCACAGATGGCTCCATATGGAACAAAAAAAGGCCACTTAACTGGTACAATTATATTGATAACAAAATATATACCAAGAAATTATCATCATATCCAACCTCTATAACCTCTCTACAAGATGGTAGTTTGTATGTGCGCTGTGATGATGGTTTAATACATCATGTATCAAATGATCTCAAACATATGAAAAAAGTCAAACCAAACATAAAGGTGCTAAAGGGCGATTCTATTGTCAGCTACAACACAACACAAAATAAGATGGTTACACTTGATGGAAATATTCTGAGCATCTTTCAGGAAAAAAAGTAAAACCGACGTCACATCATAATATACCTATTATTGTGAGACATGAATTTCTTTTATATGCTCACATATTTTGTACAATATATTCTGTAAAGCAATATAAACAGTTATTAAGATAAATGAAAATACCACTCGATTGATTTCTTTTGTACGAAGTGCTGGTAAACAGTAGAATCTAGGGATGAGTAAGCAATGACAATGAAATCTAGATACACATGCGGGTATATATTCTACAAAGGTAAAATCTATGGTTGAATAAGTAAAGGCAATTAAATCTAGACACTCTTACCTATTCTAAATTGAATGTTACATGCTCAATAGGAAGGAACAAGTGATAGTACTGTACTGAAGTTATCCAAATAAATTACAGTTTATAGAAAACATTCGTCTTACCTTTTGAGCTTTGACTGATTCTACATTTCCTATTTGTCCTGCTTTTACACTAAAAAAAAAAAAACATGATATAAGATGATTTTTTTAATGTTTTGTTACTGTTTCGATAGTTAGCATAGACAATAAATGTAAATCCTCTTTTGGCAATTTAAAAAAAAATTCTATCCGTATAAGTTTCATTCCAATGAAGCAAGGGAAACTGAACTAATCAATTGGAAACATTTGCTTCAGACACATGGACGGATGGATAAAGATTAGTAAATGTTCAGAAAAGGTTTCAGGAAGCACATTAATGTCTTTTAGTATGAAATATTAAATAGCTATAAATATATGACATTTTTTTGTAATGCAGTAAGTAGGGTTTGGGTCTAAAATAAATTTCTAAAAATTGATTGTGAACAATTTTACAGTACAAGCTTTGTACAAAAAAATTGTATCAGTACCTGTAGTTTCCAAATAGGATGAAAATATTTGATTATCTATATACATTTGGAAAAAAATGCCAGTAAGCAATCACTTTAAGAAATTTTCGAAATAAACAATCAAAATTTGTTCATGTCCGTTTGATGTTATACTGTGCAACTGTCAATGATCATTTAGTTTTCAATTTTACCCATAAGATCCGTTGTAAGATCATGGTCCATATGTCAGTGGTCATCGTATTAGTATCATTATGTAATGTGTTTTTATTTGTAATGTAATATTTGCCTTGTGAGCATAGTTGTGCCTATTCATAATTCTGAATTATATGTTTAATGATTCAGAACATATATTTAGTTGAGTACGTCCTGTATCAATTACATAGAAGTCATAACATTAATAAAAAAACAAAACATAATTGGAAAAATCACTTAAAATATTAAAAACATTTCAAAGACTGAAAAAAAAAATAATCAAAATGCATGACAGAATTTTTATTTATCTATATTATTTATTTATATATGTATATAAAATGTTAGATTGTAGTATCATTGTACCGAAAAAGTATCATAACAAAAATACCGACCTCCAGAGAAAACTCAAAACGGAAAGTCCATAAACAAATTGCAAAATCAAAAGCACAAACACATCAAACGAATGGAAAACAACTGTCATATTCCTTACATTGTACAGGCATTTCCTTAAGTAGAACATGACGGATTAAGGAAGCATAATACAAAGATTTTTTTCACCCCCAATCAGACAACTTTAAATTGATGTTGTTTCATTCTTCCAGCTTTGAAATTTATACGTGAGGGATCAAAAAAAGGAAAGATTGATTTTTCAAATGGTGATAATTTCGTTATTACATAATTTTTACATAATTGATTATTATGTAATTAGTTGCTAGTTTGTGATGACCACATTTGAATGAAACTAGCTTCGTTGTTATTCATTGCATTCCAAAATGTTTGATAGATTCTTCAGCAACACAGTTTGACCTACAAACCGTGTCTCAGATTTTTCCTATTGTATTTCATTCTCTCATAAACCTTCAATCAAGTTTGCAACCTTAATTCATAAAAAATCACTACATTTAATTTGGTATATTCTATTGATGTTGTTTGAAATCTGAGACAGAGTTTTGAATATAACTGGTCAAGGAACAATATGTGTTAAAATCAGGTATATAGTGGCACCCATCTAGGAGCTAATTTCATTTAAAACTACATTTTCATGACAAAAATGTATGTGTCACAATTGAATAAATAAGGATGTTCCTATCTAAACCTCATTAACTTCAATATAATTCACACATGTGCCATTGGGATACTTCAGGATTGGCCTTTAATCATTAATCATTTATGGCCAGTAAGATAGCATTTCATTTCAGAAATTCTTAATATATAAAGAAAATGCACACTCTATGCATCAAAAATCAGATCTGGCGGGAGACGTTAAATCATTATTGACCTTGCTGTAAGTCGGTTGCTACTGATATGGCCAAAACTCCGTCCACTAGGATAAACATTAACTATGAATGATCTCAGAAGTTTAAATGCACATTGCATTTCCTTTTTTCATTATTTTATTTATTTAGTACATAAAACAATATTTTTTGTTTTTAACGTTTTTCACAAAAAGTAAGTTATGCTTGAGTACATAAAATGATAAGTTGGTCAGTCTAGGGGGATTTCTAGAATTATAATTGTATACAATGACAATATGGTGTTTCACACAAGGTAGAATTTCTTATTTTTGTTGTTAGAAAATAAAATACTTGATGTGTGTGTTTTTTTTTTTTTTTTAAATTCATATTTAAACATGCCCCATAAAAAATCTGATATATCCATCAGCATTAACATCAGCAACATTAATTGTTGTACAATTATATCTATTTTATATCTGTACATTTATATTTTGATTCCCTCTATAGCTCCAAATATGTTTTTGGCTTTCTCTCCGGGCAGCTCCAATCTTGAAATTTAATATTATTTGGAATTAATTATCATCTTTCATTCAATAAATTCTCTTTTTCATAACTGTTATTCTTATAGCTGGTCAGTGGTCATAAAGCTATCAAATAATTCTATTGATTAACCACAAAGTACTGTCCACATGTTCTTATCTTTATCAGTCAGACACGTGCATTTGTTTATAAAACGAATGATCATCAAAACTCATTAACAGTGCAAGCTATGGAAATATATTTTTCTTCTGTAGTTTTTGAATATTAAGAAGTAGGGGGAAAAAAGCTGAAAGACATTTTAATACATTTAGTTGCTTTTGTAATGTGCTACCTTAAACCTGGTTTTATAGCACTAAACCTCTCACTTGTATGACAGTCGCATAATATTCTATAAAATTGACAACAATGTGTGAGCAAAACAAACTAACATAATAGGTAAAAATGTCAAAAATTGGGGTACAGCAGTCAATATGATGCATGCTACAGTTTTTAAAATTATATAATCATATCAATTATATTCCTCTTTACACTCAATCTTTTAAACAAATGCTTATAATATGGTTCCAAAATTCAGTGGAAATTAATCAATGCAAAAATGAATAAGATCAAAGTTAACATTATTAAAAGCAAAGAAAATTTGAAACAGACAATTATAGCTTTTAAAATATAAATAATTTGTACTGAATGTGTACGTTTATATTAGTGTACTCTTAAATATTGTTTATACAATCCAATAAATGTTGTCAAAATATGCAGTACAAAATAAAGATTTTTCAATAAGTACTTCTTGTAGTTTGGTGTTTTCAATACTATTTGTTTTTCATTTGAAAATTGCTGACAGTTTATCATTGTCTGATATTTATACTTTTGCTGTAATTTTTACTGACAAGAGAGTAAATAAAAATATTTAGATTGAACTTTTTAAAATGCAATTAGTATTAGCCAACATAAGTTACTTAGTGTTAATAGTCTAACTATTTTGTCACCCGTTTTACCTTTTTGCAACAATATATAGCTTTGAACTTTTTTTAAAGCGTATTTTAAAGCTTATTCTCAGATTTATTATTGATTACACTTCAGCAATTATAAAGTAAACCAGACCTTAGTAGACTTCTCCATACCTTCAACTACATCAATCACAATCAGACCAATTAAGGATCGAATCAGGTGTCTGAAGGCTTTGTTGGCTGCTATAGAACTGTCAAAAGAAAATTAAAACTGTCTTAAGACCAATATTTTTCTGTGCAGTAGTTACTTTTCGATTACTTTAATGCATTGGAGAAAAGTAATGGTCCCTCTTCAGAAGTGTGCAAAATTAGCTGAAAGATACTAGTATGCTATGTAATACATAGACACTTTAATGAATTGTATCTCAATGTAACAGAAATTCCTATGTTGTCCAATAGAATATTTGATAGAAAAGAAAATTACACAAATGCTCATTAGACAATACTTCTTGTAAAATTGAGATATAATATTTTAAAGTAACCAATTTTCATTGCTGTTCTTTATCTCAAACAGTTGGACAAAGGTATTCAGCAATGATGACAAGGATAACTGCTATAAACGTATACATGTACTAAATGCATGACAATTTCCTTAAAAAACAAATTTTGTGAAAACAATGTACAAAAGTCAGATAAAACATACCATGAGGAGTGTAAAACAAATTCACATTTTAATTCATTGCATTTTCAAGGCTTGCACAGCAGTGAAAATAATAGATTATGTAATGGCAGTTATATTACAAACCTGTGTCCCTACCATTATTAAAGGTGGTGGTTTCATATCATATGAAGCATTCACTATATTTTCAACATCACTGATATAACTCGAAATAACATGGTTAACTCTGCATGTGTAATTGGCATTAACTACAAAATACATCAGTTTGAGGTCTTGAAATATTGTTGGGCCAGTATATCTATTTTTAAATTTTTACCAGACGAAATGTATTCGTAGTTTGTTGCTAATCAATCTTAATGGGACTTTTGTTTACCTTGAGTCCTGTCTTAATATTCATTTTCAAGTGGCATTCTTTCATCTCGCATTCTTGTCTGTTGATAAATGCATACATGTATATATGAATTTACCTTATGTTATAGCTAATGCATATATTAAGGGTTTTCTTGTCACTCAACACCACTAAGGTGTTTTAAACGACAAGAAAACATTTACAATATGCATTATACGACTACCTATAAGATTGATTGTTTCACTCCTTAGCTTCATGACAGTTGTTATTCAAAGATTAAGAACGAGGAAAAAAATAATAATACTGATATTCAAACCTTTCATGATTAAAATAGCAAAATCTATGAACTGTTCAATTTGGTGACTATGTTGAACGAATCTATCCAATCGAACTAGAGATAAAGGATACTAAAGATACAGTTAAGTATGCCTCATATCTTGACTTACATCTAGAAATTGACAATGAGGGTAGGTTGAAAACAAAACTTTACGACAAAAGAGACGATTTCAGCTTCCCAATTGTGAACTTTCCTTTTCTATGTAGCAACATTCCAGCAGCGCCTGCATACGGAGTATATATCTCCCAATTGATACGATATTCCCGGGCTTGTGTTTCCTATCATGATTTCCTGGCTAGAGGATTGCTGCTCACAAGGAAGCTATTAAGCCAAGAGTTCCAAATGGTGAAGTTGAAATCATCCCTTCGTAAATTTTACGCCATCACGAGTTGGTTGACCGTTATGGAATAACCGTTTCACAGATGATATCGGATATGTTCCTTATGTCGTTACTACAATACCCTTCCCTTTTCACGAATGTGACTTACCGAATTAGACTATTTACCGGATTTGTAATAACATAAGCAACACGACGGGTGCCACATGTGGAGCAGGATCTGCTTACCGCTCCGGAGCACCTGAGATCACCCCCGAGTTTTTCGTGGGGTTCGTGTTGCTTAGTCTTTAGTTTTCTATGTTGTGTCATCTGTACTATTATTTGTCTGCTTGTCGTTTTATTTTTGGCTATGGCGTTGTCAGTTTGTTTTCGATCTA